GAGCACATTAGCAGAACTCTGGAAAAGTAGGAAAGGAAACACTATCACCCCCGATCGCATCTCCTTAATTGCTGTGAAGCAAGCGGTGGTCTTGGGCGATGTTGACTCACCCTGAACTTGCTGTTGATGAAAACCCCCATGGCTCTTTTTTGTGTCCTGTGGCTACTCAGCTACGTCATACTGGCTCTTTTCTGTTGGATCTGGAGGCCCCAAGAGGAAGACCTGGCATTCCAGATTTGACCGCGTTGTTAATCCGGAGCTGTTGGGGCGGCATCTTTTTCAGTCTGACATCTGCTGGTCAAGGTTACCCCAGGCCAACTGGGCTCTGTCATACATATGAATCTCAGTGTTTACATGTTGAATTTTAACTTTTAGTAGTGAAATCATGCCCACTTGATGGTGTTGTTTGTCACATCTGCCCTTGACCTACTGGTCCTGCCAAGAGAGGGAGCAGCCTAGACTGATGAGAATTGCCCTTAGCATTAGTGGAAGCAGCAGTCAAGAGATCAAAGGATGTGTTGCATTGGGTAAATCTGTTACACAAGACTTCTTTAGAGTACTGAAGAGAAAGGATGTTGAGGACTGAGGTGAGCCTTCCCCAAACCAGGGAATTTTCAACGGCCTCACATGCATGTGAAAGTTGGACGTTGAATAAGGAAGATTGAAGAAGAATGGATGTGTTTGAATTGTGGGGCTGGCGAAGAATATTGAAAACATCACGGACTGCTTAAAGGACAAAGAACTCTGTCTTGCAAGAAGTACAGCCAAAGTGCTCCTTAGAGGCAAGGATGGGGAGACTTTGGACATGTTGTCAGGAGAGACCAGTCCCTGGAGGACATCATACTTGGTAAAGCAGAGGGGCAGTGAAAGAGAGGAAGGCCCTTAATTAGATGGATGGACACTGTACCGTGGCTGCCACGACGGGCTCAGGCATAGGACCAGTTGTGAGGATGCCGCAGGATGGGGCCGTGTTTCCTTCTGTTGTGCACAGGGCCTCTATGGCTCGGGATCTACTCGATGGCACCTCACCTCGACAACAATAACAACACTAGTGATTGTGACTACCCTCCAGCTGGAATCACAGGTGGTTCAACCAGAGAGTTCTAGCTGCATCCCAGTCTCTACTCACAGGGACTTCAACTCCCTTGCCCACCTCAGCAAAAGGGCATTCATTGACCTTGGCTTTATAGTCGTTGTTGCCATGTGCTGTCGACCTGGCTTTGGCTCACAGCTGCTCCACCTACCGTAGGAGACACTGCCCACTCCTGCTGCAGGAAACAGCAATGGCAGGCCACATTGTGGCCTCATCTGGCGTCCCTCCATGCCAACATGCCTACACCGTCCATCCTTCTTCACCGGTTGTAACACCAGCCCTTCCTCCCACAGCGCTCGGTTTCTAGGCTGGGCTTGATCGTTCATTGCAGCGGCCACACAGAACTCACAGACACTACTCACAATGATGGGGGGAAATTACCACAAGCCAGCGTCAGTAACAGTGAGATACAGTCATTGTGCATGGGAAAGCCGGGCCACAATTAAGAAGACTGACGTCCTCAGCCAGCAACCAAGCCTCCCTCCAGCCCTCAGCCTCTGTCTGAGGACCAGGACCCAGCCTGCTGCTCTGCCTGCCAGTCTCCCATCTCAGCACCGCTCCCTTGTTCTGTCTCATGGTCTCCTTGCCTCGGCATCTGGTTTTGGTCTCGGCCTCTGGTGCCCCTGGTCTGGACCTCTGCCACTTCAGACATAGATCTCTCTCTCTCTCTGAGACGACTCTAATACACGGAGGAGTGGCTTTGAGGTGTGATTTTTGTTTTGCTGCAGATCTTACCTGCAAGAAACAAAAGGGTGTAAACCAAGACTTAGGGATTTAAGTCCACCTTCCTCTTGCCCATGAGGAGAGCAGAGAACTCTTCAAAATTAGAGTACGGCCACAGATATGTTGTTGTTGTTGTTGTTAGGCACCATCGAGTCAGCTCCAACCCTTAGCGACTGTACACACAACAGAAGGAAACACTGCCCGGTCCTACGCTAGCCTCACGATTAAGTCTCTGTGCCTGAGACCGTTGATGCAGCCACTGTGCCAATCATCTCGTCAAAGGCCTTTCTCTTTTGTGTCGTCCTTCCACTTTAACAAACAGAATGTCCTTCATCAAGGGCTGGTCTCTCCTGACAACACGCCCAAAGTATGTGAGAGCAGCTCCTTGCCTCTAAGGAGCTCTCCGGTCTTACTTCTTCCAATACAGATCGGTTTGTCCTTGTCGCCATCCCTGGTACTTTCAATATTCTTCGCCAGCACCACCATGCAAATGCCTCAGTCCTTCAGTCTAGCTTATTCAAAGTCCAACTTTCACACGCACAGGACTCAATGGAGAGGACCGTGGCCTGGCTCAGGCCCTCCTGAGTGCTCAAAGTCACATCCTTGCTCTTCAGTACTCTACAGAGATCTTGTGCAGCAGATTTACCCAATGCCACATGCCATCAGCACGGGGTCCAGGATTAAAATACATCACACGAGGAGTTACGGCTAGAAGGGCCCAATTAACTGAGTACCTCTCACCTGCACCAACTGAATACTGTGATGTTGGAGCTCACTGCTGTAGCCTCTGTGTCCATCCATCTCCTTGAGAGGCCTCTTCTTTTTTGCTGCCCCTCTACTTTACCAAGCATGATGCTGGTCTCCCGGGACGGGTCCCTCCTGATAACATGTCTGGAGCATGTGAGATGAACGCTGAGCATCTTCACTTCTGAGGAGCACTCTGCCGCTCCTTCTTCCAAGACCGATCTGCTCCTTTTTTTCCTCTGGCAATCCACGGTACTTTCAATATTCCTTGCCGACACCATCCTTCAAATACATTCATTTCCCCTTGGTCTGCCTTATTCATGGTCCAGTTTTCCCATGCACGTGAGGTACCTGAGAATACTGGGCCGGCACTCCTTAGTCCTCAAACTGTCTCCTTGACTTGTGAACACTTTCAAGGGGTTGTTGGCCACCGCGCCACCCAATGCCCTGTGTCTTTAGATGCCTGGACCGCTGCGTCCATGGATGTTGGCTTTAGATCCATGTAAAACAACAGCTTCTAGCTCTTTGATCGTGATTGTGGCTTTCTGGTCCGGGTAGATTTGGGGTTTTCTTTGGATCTTCTGTGGCGAGCTCTCCTCTCCTGGCCTCCCCTCCCCTCCCCAGCCTTCCATCTACATGGGTTTCTTACTCCAAATAAAAGCCAACGATCCATTTGGGGGATAGGATCTTCAGCATTTGCAAAGCCCAGTCAATTTGAGCGCTTAGCCTTCCTGATGCTATTACTACCCTTGCCTTGGGACCTTCTTCCGTGCATGCATTCCACTGATGTCTGTAGAGTATCTGACGTTGACCAGCAAGTCCTTCGGTGGTGCAAAAGGCCCGTCACTTAAACTGAAAGACTGCTAATTGGAGCCCACCCAGACGTGTCTTAGAGGAAAGGTCCAGCCATCTGAACTTCGTTTCTTACATCACTCAGCCACTGAAAATCCCAAGGGCCACCGTCCCACCCAGACACCACGGCAACCCTCTACCAAGCTGACAAAGAGGAAGCTTCAGGCAGGATCTTTGACTGGATGGAGCTTCTGCGCTCGTGGAGGAGAAAGGACCTCAGGCGTTGGGCAGGTATCTGAAGGCTCCCAAAGAGGGCAGTGGGACAGAGAGAGGGTGAGAATCCAGTGGGCAAGGACTCCCAGAAGGTGCCCAGGGAGCATCTTGGTGAAGAGAAGCCATTTCAGCAGAGACCTCGGCCAAGGGGAGAATTCAGCCGCAGGAAGAGGAGTGAAGCCAAGGTCCTGTGGCAGGAAGGAGTCCGTGGCTGGGCCTGAAGGCACGTGGGCTCAGAGGAGGCTGGAGCAGAGCAGAGACTGAGTCTCCGTGGACGTTTAGGGCAGGCTGAGGGCTCTGATTCTACGTGGTGCAGGGGGCTGGGGGTGGGCGTCTGAGGAGCAGAGTGCTGGGCTGGGATTTTCTCTGAGTCCAGTGTCCCTCTTGCGCTTACAGGCCCGCTATGGCGCCACTCGCTTCTGGTAAGCAAATGCCCACTTCCTTCCCCTGCAGAATGTCAGCTTTGCACAATCAGAGTTTGTCATTGAACCGGGGCAGCAGTTTGTCCCAGGTCAGCTACCGTGACTCAGATATACGCTTCACCACTCCCACCGGGCCTCCCGCTCTGCATCTGTGGAGTGGGCGGGTGAGACCCAGCGATGTGGACATCCTCTCCTGAGCTGGCTGGGTGGGCAGGGTGTGCTTCCAAAGTGAAATCCTGAAGAGAAATGAAAGTGAAAGATGCAGACGCGGCTTGCTTCCCAGGGGCGGCAGCGGTGGGGGTGGGGGTGGGGGTGCCGACGGAGAAAGCGAGGCTCACATTGGTCCTCTGACTCAAGATTTCATTTCTCCTAAAACACCCCGCAGCAGCATGTGACACCGGCGAAAGGGGAAGCTAGG